TATATATAGGGGGGCTGTTACCTGTAGGTGTGTGTATATATAGGGGGGCTGTTACCTGTAGTTGTGTGTATATAGGGGGGGCTGTTACCTGTAGGTGTGTGTGTATATAGGGGCTAGGTGTGTGTGTGTGTGTGTGTATATATAGGGGGGGGGAGGCTGTTACCTGTGTGCCGGTATCCGCTGGCTGCCCAGCCCTTTGCCCACCAGGAAGTGCACGTCGCTGAGCACCTCGTTGTTGAAGAGGAAGGTGAAGCGCTCCCGCACGGTGGTTTTGGTGGCCTGCCAGTTGTACACGGGCTCCCGGTGGAGGAGGCCTGCGGCGGCCGAGGGCGGGGGAGGGGCCGCCGGTGGGGAGATCGCCGCCTGGTTCCCGGGGGAGGAGGCCGAGGCCCCGCCGCTGTAGTTGTACGAGGAGGCCGAGGATCCGCTGCGGTTGCTGGGGGCGCTGTTACCCACCACCCCGGGGAACGACAGACCGCCGCTCCCACCCGCCGCCATCTTGGATGGGGGTGGCTCCGCTGGGTGGGGGGAGGCGTTTTGGGGCGGGGGGTCCCCGGGGCTGTTTACAAATATTAGCGGACAGCAGCGCCGCATGAGAGGGGGAGGGGGGAGGTGAGCCGCTGTTACTATGGCAACCAGCGGGGCGTGACACAGAGAAGCTAAGCGAAGGCGGGGACAGCATAGAGACTGGGGGCGGGGCTTGCGACCGTGACGACGGCATGAAGAGAACTGCACTGGAACGTGATTGGACAACAAGGCAAAAGGGGGTGCTGGAATAGTATTTTGTTTCCGCCCCTTTTGTCACATAATGTGTTGTGATTGGCTCGCTAGTAAACGCCCGCGTCCAATCACATCATCTCCTTAGGCCATGTGACCAAGCAGTTATAACTGCTGCCACTGGAGCGTTCTAGAGGAGCTGAGTGTTACCTGCTGTCACTCAAGGCTCCAGGTTCTAGAATTCTAGAACTTAGAATTCTAGAACCTGGAGCCTTGAGTGGAAGTAGGAATGTTAACCCCTCAGTGACCAGACAGTTTTTCAATTTTCTTTCTGTTTGGGACCAGGGCTGTTTTTACATTTCTGCGGTGTTTGCGTTAAGCTGTAATTTTCCTCTTACTCATTTACTGTACCCACACATTATATACCGTGTTCCTCGCCATTAAATGGTCTTTCTAAAGATACCGTTATTTTCGTCATATCATATAATTTACTATTTAAAATATGATGATATTTTTTTTTTAAAACACACTTTTTCTACACTTGACCTCCAAAATCTGTTACGCACCTGCAACCGCCAAAAAACACCCGTGCTAAATAGTTTTTAAGTTTTGTCCTGAGTTTAGAAATACCCAATGTTAACATGTTGTTAGCTTTTTTTTTTTTTGCAAGTTATAGGGCTATAAGTACAAGTAGGACATTGCTGTTTCAAAATATATATTTTTAAAATGTATCAATAGTGATATTGTGATACTGTAACACTGTTAACACTGTTATCTGTCATAAATCTCTGAATCACACCTCACATGTACATATTTTTTTAAAGTAGAAAACCCAGGGTATTCAATATGGGGTACGTCCAGTTTTTTTTAGTAGCCAGTTACTTACAAACACTGGCCAAAGTTAGCGTTTATATTTGTTTGTGCTTGAAAAATGGAAAAAAACTAATTTGAATGCTAGCTTTTGTCAAAGTGCCGTTTGTGTGTGAAAAATGCAAAAAAAACAGCACTTTCACTGACGATATCATCGTTGTGATATGTTTTACTGTTTTGAAACACTAATATTTGTGTCCAGCGAAGTCTCCCAAGTAAAACAGTGCCCCCCACCCCCAATGTATAGGTTTTATGGTGTCCTGGACAGTTACAGGGTTAAAAATAGGGCTTGCAAACCAAATTATCTGGACTTTCTGTCAAGGGTTGTCAAGCAGGTCCCTCAAATTGTAATTAGTAAAATTATTTATGTAAAAATATTATATAATTATATTTCCACGAAATTTCAAGATATTAAGATTGCATTATATGCTGATGATGCTTTGGTAACTCTTACATCTCCACAAGAATCATTGGCAGCACTAATGGAAGAAATTGTTAATTTCTCTAATATCTCTAATTTTAAGTTAAATGTTTCAAAATCTACTGCTTTAACTATTAATTTCCCTTTGACTCAGATTAAAAGGCTATCCCAAAATTTTCAGTTTATTTGGACTGATTTAGAAATTAATTATTTGGGTCTTAGTTTCCCTGCCAATGCCTCCCATATAATGGAGAGGAATGTTATGCACCTAATGAAGGATATGAATCAAAATTTTAAAAAATGGAAAAACTTAGAAACATTATGGATAGGCAGAATTAACATCATAAACTCTTATATTTTACCAAAATGGTCGTATTTGTTCTCAATGGTTCCTCTTAAAATCCCTAAGGTGTGGCTACTAATGATACAATCTGCCATAAATAAATTTATTTGGAAAAATAAAAAGCCTAGAATAAGTCAAAAATATATTTCTAATAAATTGTCCCAGGGAGGGCTAAACTATCCAATTATTACCAATCTTTTTTATGCCAATACTATACGACATATATATACCTTATAAGAACCACTTTTCTTCTCTGAACCTTGGTATAATTTGGAGTCTGAAGCTCTACAAGTATCCACTCTTTATTCTTATATATGGTCAGATCCTGGGAAGCTTTTAAGGGAATTGCCGAATTGCTCAATATCGTTGGCTCAATCTTTGGAAACATGGGCCGAAATTAGGAAAATTTTAGGTGTAAGCCATTTAATTCCTAGAACATGTAAATTAAATATATTAGAAAATAATGTAGAGGATTTATCATTGAGACACTGTCCTAACAAAGATATATTAACTTTATCGGATATTATGCAGGGTGATGATATCCTACCATTTCAACAGATTGTAGATAATTTCCATACTCCATCTAAAGAATTATTTACATATTTTCGTATCAAACATTATATCCAGAAACATGTTATCCAATCTTCTTTTCCTCGGGCTAAAGAATTGCAAATTCTTTTTTCATTTCAAACTGTACCCAAGGTTGTTTCGGTTGCTAATATGCTTTTTAAATGTTTAGATACTTTTCCCTACAAATTGGTTAAATCATGGGAAAATGATCTCAATTTAGTGATTTTCCCAAAGGAATGGTTTTCCTCTATAATTCTAGCAAATAAATTTGTCCATGGTCTAAACTTGACTGAGTGCCATTTTAAGTTACTCCATAGATGGTACTACACTCCGACAAGATTGGCCAAAATGTATATTTCTCAAGATTCTACCTGTTGGAGATGTGGTACCTACTCGGGTACATGTATCCATACATGGTGGTTCTGCCCAGTAGTAAAACCATTATGGGCCTGGACCTATAATATCTTTTCTGAAATATCTTTGAATGAGGTATCATTTAAAGACATAAACAAAAATCCAGTATCGGCCCTCCTTCATCTGAACTGGCCTTTTAAATCAAGTAAACATACTTGTTTAGCTATTCACTGCTTCATTGCAGCTAAAATCATTATAGCTAGACAGTGGAAATCTTCTGATCCTTTTCAGAAAATTTCCTTAATTAACCAAATTAAATTCCAACTGACAATGGAAAACGATATGGCTAAAAATTGGTCAGTGCTCTCAAAAAAAAGAGACTGGTATTCAACTTGGCTAAAAAACTGTTCTCTATTTTATGGTAATTTATAAATCTCTCAGGTGATGTGTTTATGAAGGATATTACTCCATTTGGGAAGTGGAATTCACCTTATTGTTAACATGTATCTAAATTTGTGTCTAATTACACTGTAATATGTATCTAAACTTGTGTCTATTTACACTGATATACCTCTTATTATTTTCTATAGACTATATTTCATATTTACGACTTCCTGTTTTTTATAAAAAAATTTTTTTTTTTTCTCTCCGATTGATTGACATATCTTTACGAAAGTATCTTCTTAACATAAAAAAGATGTATTAAGATTAATCGGATTTATTTTGTATGAATGTATGTATGCACTTTTTGAACTGTCTTGTAATTATAAAACAAAATTTTCTAATAAAAAGTAATTATAAAAAAAATATATTTGTAGAATTTAAATATATATATTTATTTTTTAATTTTTTATATATATATATATATATATATAGATAGATAGATAGATACATACATGTATTTGTAACATAAGTCTAAATGTATTTGTATTTTTATATTTAAATACAGTTAGAAGAAATTTTTTTTGTGAATATGATTTTTATTCATTTTGCGTATATTAATGTTCGGTGAGACGCGCAGGTCTCCATTGCATGCTAATATAAAAGGTAACAAGTTAGGCTCGCAGGCCCCATCACAAAAGGACTCGCAGGTCCCCATTTTCTGGTATTTACATTTGTTTGGGAATATAAGTTAAATAACGTTTTCATGAACTGGGTGAACATAATGCTTTGTAATCGTCCTTGAACCAGATTAATGAGCCTTTGATTAGGTGTCAGTGTTTGTAGGCTACCCCTATGGCCCCTGCCCACGGCGTCTCACAGGGCCCTGTGTCCTTAGCTATGTGTCATCGTCCGTGGTGGGCTTGTGTTTTCCCCCGTTATTACTATCGGTGTTTCCCGTGTTTAACCAGGGGAATGGTGGTATTGCGGGTAGAGGGTACCCTTACCTTGGGTGTGTGGATACTGCATTAGCCGTGTCATTGCTGGGCCTGTCCAGGGTTCCCTCAGGTGTTCGCATATTTTGGCTTTGGAGTGACGTCCCGGGCTGGTCTGGGTGTAAGTACCAGCTCGTGTTTGTTGATCGTTCCTAATTATGGTTTCCCTTGTCGCTATGGGTGCGGTGGGGATGATTCAGTCAATGATGATGCTCGGGTATTTCGAAGGGGGCAAGAGGGGGGGGAATGCGTCTGGGTGGGAAGAAGGAAGAAGGGGGGGGGTAGTTCTGTCCAGTTCGTCTGTCGATCGTCTAGCGTCGTCTGGGGTGTGTGTTCTGAGTACTATCTGTCTGTGTCGTGGTTTCCGTTAGTGTTAGGCCTGAGTTCTAATTGGAACTCTTCTTTTGCCATCTCTAGAATCCAGTGCGTCCAGATGCTCATGTAGGTAGTGGGTGTAGTGTTGGCCGTCATGGTCAGTTCCTCTATCGACCTTAGTTCTTCCATTTGGCTAAACCAGGTCGAAAGTGGAGGTGTAACTGTTTGTTTCCAGAATTGGGGGAGCACTCGTTTGGCCACGTTAAGTATTCTAATGGTCATGGATTTTTTGTATTTGGATCGGGGAACTGTTGTGTGGTGTAGGAGCATCGCTGCCGGTTCCAGGGGGGGGGGCGCGTCCGCGAACTTCTCTAGCATTTTGTGTATCCTCTTCCAGTATGGTTGGATCAACGCGCAATCCCACCAGATGTGTTTCGTGGTGCCCACCTCTCGTTCACATCTCCAGCAGAGTCTGGAGTGGTCTGGGTTTACGTGGTGAAGGAGATGTGGTGTCCTATACCAATGTGTTAGAAGCTTGTAGGCCGTTTCCTGTGTTTTGCTGTGAGTGGAACAGTGGTGTGTAAGGTAGCAGATGGTTTCCCATTCTGCTTCTGTTAGTGTGTTACCCAGGGCTGTTTCCCATTTTCCCATGAAGAGTGGTGTCTCGGACGGGGTTTCTGATTGGAGCATGGAATATAAGAAGGACACTCCGTGCGGGAGTGGGTCTGGGTGTGAGCTGACCACTTCTATCGTGGTCTG